ATCTCTCCCATTCATTAAATTTAGTTGTAAATGATGCTGTCAAAGTAACAGTTAATTTTTTAACATTATACAATAATTGTACCCGTTTTTTTCTATATCCCCTTAAGGATGGGATATACGAAATCGTAATATCACTGGTTTAACATTGAAATCCGTGAGTAATATAAAATCGGAGAGCGGAATAAAAATATCAAATATTTTAATGGATTTTTTAAAACTCCTGTCAACTATACAGAAATATCATAAAAACATACCAGTAAATTCTTATCGGTTGGGTTAAGTTATAAATCTACTCGTGATTCACGTAATCGGGCGAGGACGGCCAAATATCTAGCGGGCAGGCGGCTAACAGGCCAGAACCGGTCCTGGATAGAATTGGATGCGGTGTACAGTACGAGTAGCATCCACCCAAGGTCCTAGGCTTCCACCAGCTAAACCGGGTGAGGTTGGTGCTCTGTAAAGCGCAATCGCAAATCTGGTTTTTTTTTTTTTTTTTTGGGTGCTGACGATACAGCGCTTCCACTTCGCCACTATATACAATAGCAATCTTATCTTTTTCTTTCACGTGTAATATAGAAATTTGTAATAAGATACATAATGCGGTTATAATAAAATATTGTGCGATTATTTTCATGTAATTAAAATGAATATGTATTTATTTTTTAGAAAATACAATGGAAGCGGCTCATCCACCGCTTCCAATGACGGCATGCCACTGCTATCCATAAAAAGTCCCTAAAGTTCTTCGGGATTTTGATATACGCGGTAGCATCAAGGGAATAATTGTTTGTTTGTTAAGTTATGGCAACGCAACACTTGGGCGATCTTCCTAGGGGGATGCCTTTCGAGAGGTCTTTTTAAGGAAAACTGGCCCCTATTTAGGCGTTACAGACGTGAAGAAAACCCCGAAAACAGTGGTATCTCGGTACTCGACCGAACAATCACGACCAGCCAGAATAGATTTTTGGTTAATAACGAATATTTTAATTTTAATTTTGTCATCAATCAAAAAGTTTTCTGTGATAAAAATGAGTAACTAATGTAAAGATAAAACAGAACCTTAGAGCTTCCTAGAAAGTTAAGAAAAAGAAAATCCGACTAAAAAGACGTGGACACGTTTTCTATATATACTGGTGCCCCTGGTATTAGCATAGACATAGAAAAAACTATTAGCTACTTGGTAAATGTAGAAAGAAAATCTGAAACAAGTAAATCCGAAGGATTGTGAACCCACTTCAGATTATAAATTCTGTCCCTATTGTATTACA